CCCCCTCCATGGATCCACCGATTGTGTGCTGTGTAACGCTCGTAAAGCCAAACAAGCCTTTCAGCCCAAAATCGGTGGATCCATGGGGGGGGTACCATACATATATATATATATGTATATGGTAACAATCCTGGGACCCCCATCCATCAGACCGCCCAAGCCCTGCCTTTCTCCACCCAGATTTGGGTGTACTAGACACAGCAAGTCCATGTTACCAAACGAGTATGTAGAGATAGGAGGTCTCAATCACAACAAGATCTTATCTAACAACTCTTAGCCTGTTTCTCCTGGAAGAACATGAAGACCTGAACCCCTTGCCGCCGCCTCTGCCAACTGGCCCCGACGAACTTCGACTTCCTCATTTAAGGTTTAGGGCTTAGAGTTAGGGTTTAGGCGTTAGGGTCTAGGGTTGGGGGGTTGGATTCTGAAGGCTTGAGGATTTGGAGCTGAGGGTGTTGGGCTTTAGGAGTTACAGTGTATTGTTTTTGGGCGAGCTTCGGATGGCAGAATGGCAAATGCCATGGTTCTTGTCTGTGAAATCTTGATTTGCATAATCTTCTTTTTAGTTGTCGGCTCCATGGTCCATGATGGTTTAGGGTTTAGGGTTTAGGGTCGAGTTCACTTTGCAGCTGGTCTTCAAGGCTAGCACAGAACGCTGTAGGGTTGCTATGGGGCCACCCCAGATAAACCCCAAGATACTCTAATCCTAAATCTAGGGACTCCAAAAAGAAGGCCCCTAATTCTTGGAAACCCCCCTTACGTCACTTGTGGAGATTAAGCAAGGTACAGAAAAATCAAGTTGGCCTGCAGCTAAGCTACCCAGGCAGCTGCGATGTCAAGGACCTCCGCACATTCATGATCACAGGCACAATAGATGCAAGCAAATGGGAAGTTCAACTCCTAAACCAATTCGGGGTGTTTCCTAAGTTGTTTGGGCAACTGCTTCGTCCACCATCTTTTAAGCGATGCTTCAGCTCGATTGATGCGTTGCGTTGCCAAGAGATCAGGATCTGACCCCCAATCTGTCAAGGTTTCAAATCGCACCCTGTCTGTTGAACCACACCTAACTTCATGTTGTGGCCGGGACGCTCGATGCTTCAGGCCATCGTCCATTTCAGGACATTCTCCTGCCAATTGGTGCGGTGAAAACATCAGCAGCAGTGAGTTTGGGAACAGACTGCTCTCAACATCCCCTTCCACATTGCGCATGAGGGTTCAGCGCATCGCTTAAATCAATCCTTGACGTCTGGTTGTTATTACCTTTAAGCTCGTAGCTTTCTTCCTCAAAGAACACGTTGGCAAATAAGCTCAGCGAAAGCATTGCACCTAGGCAAGACCATGTTCACCTGTTAGAAAAATGTTTGCATTGCTCAAGTACAACTGCGTTGGGTGGAGCTCTCGTTGGTGGCAGTGAGTCCCATTGCTGCTGCAATTGCAGTTGCTCATGGCTGTTGGGGTTGCACTGACCTCTACTCAGACCCCAGCAAAGCTCCTTCAAACGGACAGAAATAGTCAACAAGGAAGTTTGTTTAGGTGGGGCAAGCCCCAAAACCTTCAGCCCTGAATCCGATAGACCTGTAGAACCGCGATATCATGACCCAATAAAATTCCTGCCGACTCCCCGGGTTTAAGGTATATACACATACTTAAACGAGCCTTCAGGATCGTGGACCATGCTCCCATTTCTGGGGCAGGACAGCCTCATGCGGGAATTGGCATTTTCAGACAAGCGGTTTAGAGGGGTCAAATGAAGACCCCGGGTTAATAAACCCCCTCCCCTTGATAGGGATTCTAGTAGGGATCCTGATATTAAGGCTCTTACCAGGATGGGATCATTAATCACGTTAGGGTAACTTTTGGCTTCCGCGATAGGAATCCAAAAAAGGCAATATGGACAGTTGTGTAGGAATTATGCATGACTTATACTCCCAGCCCTAAACCCCAAACCCTAAATCCCTTAACCCTGTATCCATAAACCCTAAACCCCAAATCCATAAACCCTGAACCCCAAATCCCTAAGCCCTGAATCCCTAAACCCTAGATGCACAAGCCTTAATCTTAGGTCCCTAAACTCTAATTTCTAGATCCTCCCAGGCTGGGCAAGAGGCCACAGGGCAGCGCTGCTTACTTGCTCCGGTTGCTCCAAGGGCCTCGGGCTTCACTCACAAGGCATTTCGCGGGATGTTCTCAAATCCTACAACCTTAAATCCTTAATCTCTTCCGAGTTCAATGTCCACTCTCGTTCGGGTTACAGGTTTAAGGTTTAGGGTTTGGGGTGAGCTTCTTGCGACCTGTCTTCCGCAGGCTCAGCTTCAGACGCAGCTTTGCTGCGGCTCATCATGAAGCACTTGGGCGCATCCTTGCGGTGGAGGATTTAGGCTTAGGGGTTATTAGTTGGGAGTCTAGCGGTTTAGGGGTTAGGGATATAGGGTTTAGGATTTGGGGATGGGGTTTTGGATTTGGGGCTTAGGGTTTTGGGTTTGTTCAAGGTTTGCATTTCAAGTATTTGGGGTGTCCTAAACCCCATTGCAGGGACTCCCAGGAACTTCTGCGCCATCAGCGTGAAGGAAGCTCGGAGACCCACAACAGTTGAAGGGCATGCAAGCTTGCTACCAGCAACCCAAACGAAAAGATTCTTTGGCAAGGGCGCATCATGGTTTAGGGTTCAGGGTTTCAGTTTTGGGGTTGGGGGTTTAAGCGCTATTTTGTGGAAGTTTCCTGTAGGGACTCCCATACTCCCTGAGCAATCCCTTGTATGCCTAGGACTCCTAGAAAACCCTCTTGTCATGACGGGCACATGTCCTGCTGCGTGTCAAAATCCTCCTCAGAACCTCAGGTAGGGTCTATAGGGTTTTAGGGTCTAGGGGTCAGAGCCGTCTTTCTTAGAGTTGAGTGTCCAGGGTCTGCGAGGTAAGGTCTACCTACGGTTTAGGATGTTCAGTTGTCGGTTCTGGGGCTTGCATTCTTGGTAGTAAGAAGCCCGCATGACCCGAAGCATCATAAACTTTGCCAGCGATGGCATTCTGGTATACGGAGTTCGTGCAGGAGAGCTGATAGTGACCGTTGGGGGGGGAGGAGGAGGAGGAGGAGGAGGAGGAGCCCTTGGAATGTTCGTAAAGTAGGATCTTTCAAAATGTCGTCTCCCCAAATGCACCCCATATGCACACTCACCAAATATGGAAAGCAAAAAAGACAAATACCTCATGTTACGAAACTCGGGCCTCAACGCTAAAACCTTGAGCCTGGAGAGCGGTATTGAAAAGGATAGCTGATTTTGAGATCTGCTCAAACCCAACCTATAAGCGGGAGGTAAAACACTGCGCACGACATGCAGCAGCGTCACTGCTTTCTAACTCGGAGGTTTGGGCCTCAAGCTTTGCGGCCAAAGCAGGCTGATGTAGACCCATGATGAATAACCCCTCTCCTACTAAGGGCCTTGATATTCGGATCCCTATTAAGATCCTATTAAGGGGAGGGGTTTATTGATCAGTGGTCTGGATGATTGCACACAAGAAATGCGTGGGAAATATGGGTAGAATACACACAAGCATAAAAACTGCCATGCCAAGAACTATGTGCGTACCAGTCGAAGTAGCAGTACGGAGTACAGTTACAGCTTCTCACAGAGCAAGAAGTACAGTCTCACTTAAGTAAACAAAACATGGGGTATGTGTTGGGTACTGCCCCCACCCAACAACAGTCTATATTAGGGGTCCTATAAAGGGCTATATAGAACCACTTATATCTATCATCCGACTGTTACTGAGGAAGGGCAGTACCCAAGGTATATGGGTATCTTATTATGACATTGGTCAATTCCATATTCTATCTACTCGAGGGGGACTATAACCTCAGGAATAGCAGGAAAGTTCATTGTCACATGCGTTTGACACGACGATTTTTCTCGATTTTCAAGACTCAGATGTTGACAAGCATGAGGCAAGGGAGGACCAGCATTCGAAGCTGAGGCCTTAAGCCTAAACCCTACACTGCCAGACCAGCAAACAGCTGAAACCCGCGGTCTAAGAAGCCGCGGCACCTAAATCCTGTGAGGCCCCAAACCCGAACCCAAGCCTTGAAAATGATTCATATGTTATATTAAGGTTATATTAGGGTTGTACTCGGGTTGTATTAAGGCTATTTTAGCGGGTTATATGCGGGTTATATTAATGTTATATTAAGGTTGGAATCTGGTTATATTAGGGTAATGTTTGGGCCATGTTAAGGTCATATTAGGGATATATTCGGGTTGTATTCTTGAAGTTACATTAGGGTTATATTGGGGTGATATTCTGGTTATTTGAGGGCTATATTCGGGCTGCAATATTAGGACTTTCTTAGCGCTATAAAAGGGTTATATTAACCCTAAACCCTAAACCCTAAATTATATTAGCGCCATCGTGTCTTGAATCGTTACACTAAGACTGGTGATGCAGCACATCTTGCCTGTCGTTCACGACAATACAGGGTTAGGGTTCAAGGTTTAGTGTGTGGGGTTTAGGGTCAAAACTCCAAGTATCCCCCTCAATAACCGCTTCGACTCATGGATGCTTGGTATCAACAAACCTCGCTCATATACCCTGGTCCTTGCAAACCACGGTGAAGCTGCAGTGTCCATTTGATCTTCCATCTCCTGTTCCATCTGATTCTCCACTACTGGGGATATCCCTAAACCCCAAAACCCTCAATCCTAAACCCCTAAACCCTAAAACCCAGAATTTTAGACCCTAACCACAGCAGCCTTTGTGCCCTCTATAGCTCAGGAGCATGTCCGCGGGCCGGATTTTCCGCATCGAAGTTTGATCCAGGACTCCTCACCAAATTTATCGTTATTCTTTCGGTGGACCCCCCACCCTGTAATAGTGGCTAGAAGGGACAATAAGGACTACATTAGGATCCTCTCATATTCCGACTAAACCGCTATTTCAAGATGTGCGGGTCCTCCTAAGTTATTCTAATCACTAGCTGGAGGTCCTGGCCCTTTTTTGACACAAGCATACTTGGCTTAGCTAATTGTCCATGATGTTGAATACGCCCCTGAACTGGGGCATCTGGTACCCAAAGCCCAGCGATACTAACCTCAAGAGACTCGAGGCTAACAATAACAAACATTCTTTAAAACTAAGACCATCCACGCTACGTGGAACCTGGTTGATGACAGGGAATGTAGGACTACGCAGGAACAGGCAACCAACACTATCCTTGTTGGTGTTGTTCTTGTAATGCTACTCCTACTCGTAGGTTTGCAAAACATTCATAGCCCAAGAGCCAGGCTCCAAATATTTTCTCTTGTCGAGAACCCACACCAAATAGACCATGATATACTATACTACACTATAATCTACTATAATCTACTATAATCTACTATTATACTATACTAGAAAATACTAAAATATACTATAGTAGACTATAATATACTATTATATAAGTATTATACTATAATATACCATAGTATACTATAATATACACTAGAATATGTTATGAAGTCTCTAGAATCTGGTTCTCAGCAAGCGACGGGAGGTCTCCGCTTCAGATGCCGCAACTTTGCGTCGAAGCTGGAGTATTTTCCGACCTGCAACTTTAGGGTTTACGGGTTTTGGGTTTTAGGGTTCAGGGTTTATAGGCTTTAGGTTAGGGGTTTAGGGCTTGGGCTTTTAGTGTATAGAAGACAAGCCCATGTTGTAAAAGACACATCGAAGACTCTCAACAAGTGCACCCACTACTTTGGGCACAGAGGTGGGGCTCATTTAGGAACCCACCCGAATGCCCAACAACAAAAAAGCAGAAAGCATGCAAAACGAGTGTCAATTCTCACGTGGTAAGGGATTATAAAACCATCCCCCCAAAGGTATTCCCAGGGTTAAAGGAGCTGATAAGGACTGTATAGGGCTTAATAAGGCCTAAAAGGGCTCTAAATCTGGGGGGTGGGGGAGGGGACCTTTGGGGGGTGTACTAGTGTAACCCCCTTACATAGCTGTGTACTCACAAACCACGCAAAAAGCCTACCTTGTCCGGACGCGGTATTCTTGGCATGGAGGGCACCTCAGCTTGTGATGATGGAAAAGAAAATGGAAACTACTACTATATTCAAAGAAAATGGAAACTACTATATTATAACAAAAGGGA